TTCTGCCTGGTAAAGCTTCAAAATGAACGACCTGGATGATTACTACTCTTGAGAGTAGTCAATTAGCCGGCTTGGAAAGCAAGAAAATATTCTAATGTGTGTCTTTTTGTCCCAACGGAGAATTAGCCTACGTGTCTACCACAAACTTGAATGACAGGGCGACAGAAAGAATTGAATTGAAACACTTAAGTAGACAGACACTTCGTGATTCTTTCTGGCTGTCAATTAAACTGTTCGAATAACAACTGCGAACAGCACGTTCCAGTTGCGAAGACAAGCTGGCGCGATATGTTTCACAGTCTGCTACTAACCATCAAATGTCGTACGTAAACAGAAGTTGAGAAAACCACGGAAAACTAGACATTCTGTATTAACAACGACAACCATAAGCTAATAACAAACACCAGCACCATCCTCAGAACTTCCTTGCGATCCATTTCAGTGTAACTTACCATTTTCTTCTTGGTCTTCCAATTACGCATTCTTCTACATGTTTCTGCACCAAAATTCTGTATACACATCTGTCTTTCTTTCATGAGAAATATGTACTACTCATCGTAGTATCCTCGCTATCAGACACTATGAAAATCTAGGGGGTGCGGCCTACATTCATAGTGAATCAGTGTGCCAGCCGGCATCATCGAATTAGCATTTGTTTCTTAGTTACGGGCGTTTTGGTAGTGCATTACACCGACCCTCCTGCGATTTCGGAATGGCGTGTGCATCAAATTTTGCTAAAGACTCGCCAAAACGGCTACGGAAACCTATGAACCTATGAACTACTTCGAGGGTGATGGATGAATTTAATACCTGAGATAAGTGTACGGGTTTTTATAGGCGCAGTCTGGAAAATTTCCGATCGCACCTCGTACGTAGGCCTAACTATTGTACACTGATCTTCAACGTTCTGGAAAGCAAACACTGTAACCTGTAATAGCAAGTGTTAATAAAAGCCTGTCATATAAATGTCACCAATGTTTGACAAAGGATTCAGGAATTGGATTGCTCGCTGCCCGTAAGGCGTTCTTAATATCTCCTTTCAAAGACGGGCTACGTTGTTACTTTGTTTGTTTAACGGAGTTAGATCTATAGGAAGAGCTGTTTAGCGCCCGTGACACATGTTACTATGATCTTGGAGCATGTGGAGAAAGCTTTTAGGCACAAACCCCGACTAGCACCTAAGAGAACAAAAAATCACGAATAACCCCAGTCATGTCGTCAGTCAACACACAGCCATTAAAACTACTAGGTACCTCCCGAATGTGAGCAAGCCGTCTGTCAGTAGATCTACACCTTTTCAATCAAGATTTATTACCTGTTCTGGTTTTTCCCATTTCTTTCCTCTCGTTTCGACAATTCAAGATATTCAATTTTTCATTCGAAAAGAGAGTAGAAACAAATCTATCTTATCAAGATGAAGTCTAAAAGTAATACTGCTGGAAATCCTTAAAGCGTTCCTTTCCGTTTTTGAGGCCTGCGCCCTAATGAGTGCCTCGATGGTACTGTAATCAGTGGTCCATATTTTTACTTACTAATGAGTTTCCGTCAGGAGTTCCACCAGTCACTCCGTAGCAACCAGCAGCTACTTAACTGTCTAATTTACAGACGTGTAAACTGTTAACTTCATAACCGCGCCTGTGACTCACTCAACTGTCAACGCTTTACTTGGCAAACCACCTAACGCTGTAACACGGACTGAACACTTTCCTAAAGCAAAGCGAAAATGATTTGTTTTAAGACGACGACCTTTCCAAATTGGTACGTGCATTCTCGTAGAACTTGTATGACGTTTCAAAGGTGCGCACTGCGTCCATCATTAGGGCCTGGGTAAAATGGCTGTCTTCTGTGTCAGTGTGCAATGTAATCTGGTAGACGATTATCAGCATTTCTGATGTGCCTGCTGCCTGCATCATAAGAACGGCCACCTTGATGATAGAGGCAGTAAGTACCTCTGAAACATCGGTCAATTTCTACCATAATAGACGGCTTAGCGTCCCAGAAGACAGTTATGTTCAGAAGACATGACAGTGGTGACGAATACTCGACGGCGAAGGCTGATTAAATGTTTCCAGTCTGAGAATTAAGTAGCACGCGAAGCTGACAGACAGCAGCAAGATTAGTAATGCGGGGTCAGGCAAAGTAACTGACAGGGAAAGTAATGAAGCAGGCATCAAGAGACCTACATAATGAGTATAGCAGATGTAATTTGTACGTGTTCTTCGCATGCAAAGGTGCGAGATTGCCTTCATAAGTAAAACGTTTTGCAATTTGCATAACTAACTGTTAAATAGTTTGCATAGTTGAATCGGTTCATTTAATTTGCCAATAGTGGAATCTGAACACCAAGATTTAAAATAGCAATTCGGTTTACGACAGCGCAAACCGTTAGAATTCAAATTCAGACGTTAAAGTGAGTTACAGAAGAACGAATTAGAAGCTCTTACAGGAATTTGCATTTAAAACGCAATCCTAACTACTAAACGTGGACCTCTTCGTGCACAAAGTCACCATTTTCACCACTGACTTCCTGGAGTCGTGTTTCGTTACAGCAGGCGAACAAACGACAACCAATGCACTACAAAGAATCAAACCGGGGTCTTTTGATGGCGGCGTATCCTGTAAATCCTGCGAGGTCTGACAAGAAACCGCGGTCTTCAGTTGAATTAGAGCCTTGGGACATTTTCGTTCTAAGACTTGATTCGTACTTCTTTTCAGCTTCAGGTTGCTTGTATTAGGTGGACTAACCGACCAGGCAGACAGCTTGGCGGTGAGTTCAGACAGAGCTAATGGAAACTGGTCACAAGCGACCAACTTTATAAGGACAAGCTAGCTGTTCTGCTACAGTCCACTTCGAAAACAGACAACTTGAACTACAAGTTCTCTGGGCAGATCCTTCACCCTCACTCGTTCTCCACTGGTTTACTTTACAATGTTTTTATTTGATTACCGAATTTAAAAATAGCGTCTCTAAGCGGACGAACGTAAACTGACAAAGCGGGACATATAGTGGAGAACTTCGTATTTAACAAAATGTATAAATACAGTAGAGTCCGGTTAATTGGTCCATCGATTAATCGGGGCAGTCATCTTATTTCTTGAAAACAGCAGTTTAAATATCAAGTAGGAAACACTGAAACTTGTTGTAGAGATATAAATGGAGTTTAAACGGCTAAATATTACGTCCAAACGGTGGATATAAAATAAACGCTAACTTAAAATATTGTTCAATGCACTCGTACCATATTCCATGTTTAACGAGAAACAACAAAGCAAACTGCTCATATTGTACAGTAGCTTTTTCAACAATAGTTTTGAATTCGCAATAAATGCAATTCCGCAAAGACGGCATTTCGAAATATTTGTCTGCAAAACCGGTATTCGAGTTTCCGCTCAAATATCGCGCGTATGTTTTCAAGTTTCCGCTCAAATATCGCGCGTATGTTTTCAGGTTTCCGCTCAAATATCGCGCGTATGTTTTCAGGTTTCCGCTCAAATATCGCGCGTATGTTTTCAGGTTTCCGCTCAAATATCGCGCGTATGTTTTCAAAGTGTGTGTAATTCCCGCTTATCAGACGACCACACCGAATCGTATCGTATACGAATGCCCTATGCAGATTTGTTAAGTGCATTAAACGCAAATATTTGACAGCCACAGGTAAAAATAACCGGTTTTGTTAACACTACATAAATTATCATAATATTGACTTCAAGCGGTTGTGTATTTTCTCCAAACACCTACTTGATGCCCGAAGTCTACACAAAGTAATTTGGCTTACCTCGAACTTGATCTTGACGATTACTTGCAAAGTTCTTGTACTGCGAAGTTATCTTAATATTTAAATGTACCGACTGAGAGAATAAGCTCACTGGCAGGTTCGACGTTTCGTTAGTTCTAGTTAAAGCAGCGGCCGCGAAGAATCTGTGAACCGAAATTAGGCCCGTCGCCTAAAGTTGGACCGAAAAATAATTATTGGTGAGGGTTGTAACTAACTGGCTAAGGACGTAAAGAATGGCCCAAACGCTTAAAGGGAAGATAATACAGTGAGCAGAACCCCATTTCAAAACAAAATAGTGACAAGTATATTTAGATCTAAAGGAGAAAAATGGTTTCCAAATGAAGAAAATATCAAGTTCAGTCAAAATAGAAGAGCACTTTCAGTGGCCTGTAAATGTTGGTAAAATAATCACAAAGTTTTTACACATAATTTACTATTCCATGTGACATTCAGCAATTATGCTGATGGTCCATATTAATTAACTAACTTCATGGATTAGAAACGTTGAGATGCCTAACGGTTACTCAGCTTGTCAAGAAATACCCGTCTTTTATGTGACACAAAGGTTCACAACAACCCGTCACTGGTCCCTATCCTGAGCCAGATGAGTCCAGTCAATACTCTCCTGCCCTGTTGCTTTAAGATACATTTTAACAACATCGCTCCAGTTTAGTGATCGTCACCTTCATTTTGAATATTTCCCTTTATTTTTATCAATTCTCTAATAACACTACGTCAATAGCAGACACTACTAAGCTCCTCATTATGCTCTCCGCAGCATCCTGTTCCCAGACACCCTCGATGTACGAAGATGGCCGTCTTCTGGGTTGTTGCATCGTGTAGTCTGGTAGAAGTTTACTAACGGTTCAGAGGTCCTTGCTGTCTCAATGGAGGCAGCAAAGACACGGAGCTACAACCCAGAAGACAACCATCTTCGTATTCACCGACATGAGAACCTCAAATCCTACCCTCAATGTACGTTCTTCCCACAATAGGAGGAGCCAAGTTTCACGCTGGACACGAATAACGTAGCTAAAATTGAAATGTTGTCTATTTTGTATGTTCCGAAAATTATTAGATTAATGCAAAGTCGAGATTTCTGGACTAGAGGATGTTTTCCTGGCCGTGTACACAGAATCATCTGATTTCTGCTTGAACTTTTATTTCCATTCGTATTTACGTCACGAGATTTCTGACAAGCTGTGGTTGCAGAATTCCACCTACCGACCACACCGCACTGATGCCATCCTTCCTCCGCACTGTTGGTTCCTGGTATCCTGTACACGGCGTGTAATATTGGACTCGTGTGATCCCTCCAGTTCTCAGCTGGTTCAATGAAGTAGCTGCCTGTTGAAGTCCGGATGTGGCCAGTCTGAAATAGACAGACCACGCCATGTAAATCGGGTGGTGTTTTCATTCACAGTCATCAATCAATATCTGCGGTCCAGACCTGGCACCCGATAAGTATAGCACAACCATGTGGGGAATCCCTGAGATATCATTACTCAGGCAGACAAGCGCCAGACACTCATCCCCACCCAGCAAAGATAACGGACCCAGTCGTAAGATCTCAGATTTCCACGCTGGCGAGTATGAAGACGACCGGCCTGACGATGCAGTCAGTAAACGCCTCCGAAACGTCGATCAGCTTCTATCAGCTTGACAGGCTGACAAAGAAAGATTTCCAGGGATGCTTCCAGGCTTGGCAGCGGAGCTGGGATCGTTGTGTTCACTCCCAGGGGAACTACTTCGAGGGTGATGGATGAATTTAATACCTGAGATAAGTGTACGGGTTTTTATACGCGCAGTCTGGAAACCTTCCGATCGCACCTCGTATAACGCCGAGTCCATTTACGAAAACAAAGCAATGTAACCCAAACCTTTCGCTTCCTAGTTCGCTATGTGCAGACAACTATGGTCAGTGCCTCCAGCAAGGTAAGCAACTTGTTTACTTGAAAAGTAAGACTACACAAAGAGTGCGGCTGTTTAGGAAAATATGTACCACTCCTTTGGCGATGAAGTAATTTTACAACCATTCAGCCGGAAAGTAGGGGATCACAGTGACAAGGGATTCTGTTGGTTACTCTTACGCTAAAATTAAGTTCAGCTTCTCAAGGACAGCATGCCTACGACATACAGACTAGTTTTCAAGTTTCTTCACATTAATTGCGTCCAAAGACAAGGAGAGGCTATCATTAATGTTACCGTCAACAAGTAACAGGAGATTAAAACAAAACATTTGCTATTCTAAAAACTATGACGCAGATTTTAAATTGTACCTGCACCTTGTCGTGGTGTTGGGGCTCGAGTACCTCAGTGACCCCATAGCTACTGGTAGGGCCTCCCTAGCCAGATTGGTTCGAAAGGGAGAGGTACCCTGGTCCTCCAGGTTGGGGGTTGGTCGCAAGGCTTACAACCTTGCACCGTAAAAAGGAAGACGTTTCGAAACCTCGATCAAAGCCTCGGACAGACGGACCTAACAGAGGACCGAATGGAAGAGGATAATTGAGGAGGCCATGGACCGAATACGGACCGGAGAGCCATAGAAGGAGAAGAAGAAGGTACCGACAATCGCGCATGTGCACACGGCTTCAGCTCATCAGATACTGTGATCTCCGATTCGAACCCGTTTCTCTCTGATTGCAGAGACACTCCGACGGCCTCACCCCTATCCAAAACCTGTCCCACTGAGGATTTATGCTTTTGAGATATCCACAGCGGAGGAAGCCCCGGGTGAAGTCCTCAAAGGGCCACATGTTTTCTTACTTGTCTTTGTGTTCCTGAACCTATCTCGGCTCGGTCAGCCCCAAGTACGCGTCTCGAATGTTGAGGCAAGGCTTGGAGCTGATACGTCACGTAAGCCGACTACTTTAACAATCCTGTTTGCAATCAATGGCACACTGAATTGCACGCATTCGTGCACAACTTGACGTCAGAAGCACTGAAAACAGTTCTGTGGTGTGTCACGGCCGAATCATTAGCCATAATGGGAACACGCACGTTTTCTCAGGCAACACACGGCATCACGGTAAACTGAAGAAGAACATGATTCTTCTATAAAAAAGAATATAAAATGTTTATGTCAGAGAAAATGATTATTGACTTGTTAATCGGTTAGTTAACTGTTTTTGTTAACCCCAAAATGAAATGTATCATTGATGAGAATGACTTAATGATAATAGAAATGACACAGAAAACTGCTGTGAGATAACTTTAACAAAACATCCGAAATCTGCCTGAAAATATCCAGAAAAACCACGAAACACCACAGTCTGGACGATAACGGTGCACCACCCGAGATTCGGTATCCCCACTTCTTTTTAATGGTACAAATTTCGCCTAAAGCATTTCTGTATTTCACTTATAATTAATACAATAAACATTGAAGGGGCAGCCGTGAAAAGTCTTCTATTTTTGTGGTTCAGTGGTACTGCATACACTGGAACACAGCTAACTCCAGCCAGACAGGTGATGTTAGCCAGTTAGTTGAGGCTTACACTTTCCGCGAGTCGCTGGCAGGCTGAAGAAACCCAGGGGTCCGTTTGATCTGATCGCTTCCGCTGTGCCCCAGTGTATGGAGGACAAATAAATATACACATCTCTTGTGCGTAAACCCACTGTTGTCCGTAATTACCACATAAAGAATTGTACAACTATTAGGCCCAGCGACTAATCATTTATTGAAAACGCTTTAGAAATGCCGATGTTATGACCTCGCTGACGGATAAATGGCAAAACTGTTGGAACAATCCGAAATTAATATGGGCAGCCAGAAATTTAATGTCGTGCTTGTCCACAAAAACCAACCAAACTCAAATCTTGGTCCAGGATTCGGACGGGTCATTATGTGGTTAGCCTATAAGAATGAGATGGACAGAGATGAAGAAATTACTTACTATTCATCGTTAAACTATACGAACCGATTTGAATGGGTCATATTAGATACTGATCTGTGGTAATGATGCTAATATACTGGGTGAAAACACGTCATAAACAGAACATAGATTACTGCACCTTTGGTTTGAATATTCTCCTAAGCACTCAATTTGTGTTCTTCATAAGATAGTATAATTGTGTCATATTGTGAATCAAATATTAAATTAATTATTCGGTTTTTGTCCGTCTAATCACGATTATATTTAAAATTTACAAATAAGATAATTAAAATATCATTTTATGTTCCACATCGAATAATCGATTTACATTTGGAACATTTTTTACAACATGTTTCGGTTTCATCGAACCATCTTCAGGTGTAAAATTATATCAACAAACTTAAAACTCAATTACAATTTCTGTTGTGTAGCTTTTTGGTGATGTTTTCTGGTGATGTTCATATCCAGATTATTTTCATATATTGGAGCGAATGTATTGTTTTGAAGTGAAATGCTTTTGATGTTCTACATCGGCCAAAGATGATAGTGTAGACACGTTGATGTGTCTGGAGGTGTCTAGAAGTACTAACGTATCCGAACAGGCATGGTTACACCTGAAGATGGTTCGATGAAACCGAAACATGTTGTAAAAATTTTCCAAATGTAAATCGATTATTCGATGTGGAACATAAAATGATATTTTAATTATCTTATTTGTGTTCTTCCCTTAACGTGGGAACATAAAAAACAACAAATTGCAATTTTGTGTATTTTAATATTTTCATGTCGTTAGATACCGGAAGGGAAGACAAAGCTTTCCCCGAATTTAAAGTGGTTTCAGTTTATTAAGCAGTAATACTACTGCGACCCAAGTCTATCACCAAGAACGCTACAGTATCACAACTTGTACAAATAAGCAAGTCTGTTGCTGACGTACGTCGTCATGTTTCATGGATACGTGTTTTTCTCGCCCGTGATAATTCAAGGTCTTATGGGTCACTCCGGTTTGCACCTTGAGTCAAGATCTTTGAATAAAATTGCAGCACCAAAGAAAACACGTC